ATATATATATATATATATATATGTTTATATCTATATATGTATTTATTTATATATTTTTTATATTTATTTAATAAATCTTGTGATCAAGATTTATTACAAAATATATAAATATATATAAATATATATATATATATATATATGTTTATATCTATATATGTATTTATTTATATATTTTTTATATTTATTTAATAAATCTTGTGATCAAGATTTATTACAAAATATATAAATATATAAATATAATAAATACTATAATATATATACATATATGTATGTATGTATATATATATGTATATTTACATAAACATTTCGATATAATGAAGTAATGTTAAAAATCCCTAAGAAGTTTATAATTGGAAAATAAAATTTTTTGTTATTCGTGAAGTAGAATTGAACTATGGAATATCTATTAGCTACACGAAGGTTCCGCGAAATCAGTGAAATCACTAAAAAAGAGGTCAAAAACAGAAATATTGAAATTATGAAATAATTAAAAGATGCAACGATTTCTGCAGCCAGTGATTACATGTTGACGATGTTTGCAAATAAATATGCGAGTCAGAATACAAAATGTAAATACGATATTGATATAAAATGCATTCGCTGTTCACTTTATACAGCTCACTCATAAACTCTATCAGTGCATATCCAATGGAAATTGTGTTTGTTGCGGATATCGATATTGACCGGTCCGTTTGAATTAAGTTATTCTTATTATTCACGACAGTCGAAATATTTAACATTGACACATAATATTTTACTTTCATAAATACGTCACGAAAACGAACGTATTTTATTCCGTGCATAAACAGTCCTATGCAGATCGAAGGGGATTGGCGCTCGCTTCTCTCAAATATACAGTGGTGAAATAATTATTCTTAACCTTTAAATTGCCAGGATGGATTCGAATGTGCCTCAATTTATTCGTTTGCACAGTAAAATTGAATATTGATAAATAAAATTAACGTTTAATCGGTTCTCAATTTAATTTGCTTTCTGCATCGTATCTTCGAGACACGAACGTTTAGTAAATGCGAATTCCTTAAACAATATTGAAGAAAACATCATTCATATAGTGAACGATACAGTTTAAAATATTATATATGCATCTTTGTGCTTCTGTAATATAAACGTTATTCATATTGAATATCGATGTAAATCAAAGCGAACTTTATGCAAAATAATTTACGAACCTGGAAACATTTATTTCGCTATTCGCATATCAAGCATGTTATCGCTCGAAATTCTCGTACCATTAATATTCTGAAGTTAATTTCAACCGATATTTATTCAATAAATTTGTAACTAACCATCTTGGCCAAGATATTTTGCATACGAATCATTCTACCGATTAAATTCTCGTGAAAAGTGTACGACGAAATGATGTTAATGAAGTGCACATTAAATGCCGCTCGATTCTTTTCAACTGATTAAAAATGTGAAGAATGAAAATAAATTTTGATTTGACTCCTATTCGTTGCAATCGAGGTAAAGAATTTTTATTTTGCATTAAGATCCGCTGTCTAGTTACAAAAAAATATAAATACCTTAACCTCGGAATACTTTTTTTTATTTTCACAGAAAAATTTAGATCTTCCCATCCGAATTGCGACTTTTATTCCAACAAAACGAAATTGTTTGTATGATTCGTGTTTACAGTTAATATCAACGGATGAGAAAAGTAAATACCGATAGCTTTAAAACAATTTTGTATGCAAACATTCTCACCACGTGACAGATCCGTATGTCCATGTACCGACCCAAAATCGAAACTAACAATTCTATTTTTACCTTGGCAATCGTGAAAATGTAGGAAACGGGCAATTATAGAGCATGACGCAAACGCTTTTATAATATTTCGACGAAAAATTAATTTATAAATATCGATGAAATTAACGAGCAATTTTATTAAAAATATATTCGAACAGAATGGAAGTCAGATATCTAATTTCATCTCGTTATAAATGCTTTAACAACAAAAGAAAAACTACGCGAATAAAGCTTGAATTTTCCGAATGCCCGGCATTAATTGAACACCGTAAAATATGCAAAAAGCACGATGGATAATTATACTGTTTCGTACCAAACTTTTCCTTCGCATGTCAAGTTTTCCTCATTCTCTTAATTTCAGAAAAATTATTTAATTTCCAGGTCGAGCGTGCTACGGTTGTGGAAATATTGCGAATTTGATACATTTACTCCGCGTACGAATGTTTAAACATACCAGTGCGCAAATTAATTAGCAGAAAATAAAAGTCACGTTTCGTTCGGAAGCTAAATTAGGTAAATCTTGACCTGTTCCAGCAATATTAATTAAATGTTATGTAACTGCTTATGAAAAAGGATTTTAAAAAAAAGAGTATATACGAGATAGTACATTTAAAGTTAATTTCATTGTGCTCAATTCGTTATATAAAGCATATAAAATTTATTTTATAACTTTCTGTTTATTCTCAGTATTCGTTTATACGAGACCATACTTTTCAATATTGAGTGTTTGCATCCCAAATATTTTAAAATAATTCACTTTTAATTCGATGTATACGAAAAAGGTATTACAAAGCCCACGGAAATTATTATCTGCTGATATTTGTGTTACGAATTTCGAATAATAGCCAGTAAAATTAGAAAATGATTTATCATCACTAGAAACAGAAATTGAATACAGATAAATTCTTTCTTTTAATAAGAATCATGCGTAACTCTTCTTATGTCTTCACAATTTTATATTTCAGCAACTCAAACGCATAAAATCCGCAGTCTGATCATCACTGCAGTTTACATTTTATCATGCAGTTAAATTTCCCCTTTATCTCCGACGTTACAACGTTTAATTTATACGAATTCTATGCAAAATTATACAGGGGCAAAAGGAAGTAGAAAGGCACGCGAGAATTACTCGAAACATGCGATTCCAACGAAGAATTCGATTCCAAAAACCGTGCAAATACAACATGGTCGACCTTCGCCGTCTCGTTAACACTCGTTCGAAGTCTCATTTGCGATTCTATTTGATCACATTCATTGGCGAGAACGCAATAGAGTGGACAAACACGTTAATACATCACGGTCCGCGTGAAAATAATATTTTCCCGTCACACTGGGACACGCATGGAGAGCGACTCACCGTAATCCCCGTGGAAATCGTCGAAACCTGACTGACAGCCGCAAAACCAGGTGGTCGAAGTCAATAATTAGGAACAATCGTCGCGGCTTTCGGACAATTACTATTTAGCCGCGCATTAACCTGTCCGATCGCATGGTCGCCAATTCGAAACTGTTTTCTGTCAGCACAATGCCCGACTCGGTTTTCACATTAGCCGAACACGGATTCCCGGGGCATCCGTCTTAGTCAACAGTCCTGCAGCCAGGCTAAACGTTTACGAACAACCACAATCTCGTACACCAAACGACCGGTCCCGATCCGTGCACTTCACTCGAAATCGAATCCCATCGTAGGTGAGTCAAACTGCAGCACAAATTCCGCACGGGAAACCTCGTAATATTGCGGTCCCGGTTTCATAGAAGCAACATCTGTAGTGTCTTAGCGAGCCTAGAAACACTTCGAAGACCGAGAGAGCGTCGAAGCAGAGACGGGCGATGCTAATTCATGGGTACCCATGAACCCGAACTAACACTAAAACGGAGCAAATAAAACGGCGTAGCCAGCACAAGTCCGAAGACGCGAATTCAGCCGGACTTTATCACGGAACACACAAAATCCTCATTGCTCCGATGCGTCTCTCCCGACACTGAACAATTTCAAGGACACCATCGAGAGTATCTCTAAATAATGACTTTTCGAGACCGGTTGGTCTTGACGAAATCGAGAGAAAAAAAAATCGTGCACTGAATCGTACTCACTCGTTAATCATTTCGAGGACCGTTCGGACGCGCACCACGGTTTTCGGATCGATTTGTTCGATGCGATCGCGTTCAGATCGATCGTCGGCGGCGTGCTCTCGGCGAACGATCGGTCATGACGAGCCACCACGGAGATGATTCTTCTTCGATCAGTTGAACGAAACTGGCACCGGGTGCTCGCGTGCCACCACGAAAAGGGTCACCTGGCCCGAGGAGCGTTCCGTTCCGTGGCGCGTCGCGTCGCGGCGCGCGTCTCTCTGTGCGACGCACACTAAACTGGCGCAAGCTCCTCCGCCGACGCGACGACGCGACGGGGAGAAAACTACGCGGACGTACCCTCGTGCTGTCGTGAGCGCGCGAAAACCGACGCGCGAGGAGTCGCCAGTCTCACCTGCCGGACCCGGTTCAAAGGGAACGCCGGCGACCGACGACCGCGAACAGCTTTCTTCGACTACGCTTCGACTGACCGCCAGAGACACGTTCGCCGACGAATTGCCGAAAAAGCGATCCCACAAACTCAATCCTGTAGTTTCAGAGAAGACCGTCACGTGCTTTCACTTCCAAGATATTGTCGCTTCAAGTTCTGATCACTTTATCGCCGCTTCAAGTTTTGGTTACAATAGTGTTTCAGATTGCATAGTTTTGCATACTTCATCAGATTGCATACTTCTTCTGATAAATACGTGAATCCTATATGCTACAGTTCGATTAATGCAGTAACCTAAATTTTTTGAAATTGCAACATGCGGCGTTTTCCCTTGCAGCTACAGAAATGGCTGTAAAACCTCGAATAATCAAAGTAATCATGGAAATACAATTCAGGTATTTCGAGAAAATCAATTTCAAAGTTTTCATTAAAGCATTATTTAAGGAAAAGTAATACGATAATTAGGATCTAACTTTTTTCAGATATACGCACTTATATGTTCTAAAAAAGAAGGTCATAATTTGTTGTTGATACGTGTTTTCTTATGACGTTTACAAAAACTTTTTTCGTAACAATCATAAAAAGAAGTCATATTTTGTACTCACTAAATTTGTTTGCCAATTTATTACAAATAAATTGAGACATTGTGGTTGATTTATCAATGTTTAGAACTCCTTGTTCTATGTACAGCTATGCTTTAAAAATGCATACAACAGTTGCTAAATGATCCATTTTAATCATAAGCAAATGTCTTCGCATCACAGCGTATTTTATTTTTTATTTCATGATAGATGTTTCCCCAATTCATATACCATCATCTTTGATCAATTATCTGTTGTAGTACCTTTGAAACATGTGTGAGTTACCGTAATTATACTGTATATGTTTGATTTTCTCCATATGATGTCTAAATACAACACTTTTATAGAATATACGATTTAATAAAGAATATCAAAGCATATATTTAACTAGTTAACTGTTTTTGGCGAGTATACTCATCACGAAGAAATGGAAACAACTTGTGTTATAACGAGTTATACACTCGTCAAGAACAGCTAACTGCTTAAAATTGTAACTTACATTGTCATTCAAACAGAAAAGCAAATAGAGAAATAGAGCATTGTAGAAAACTTCAACATAGAAAAATTGAAAATCTAAGAAATCACTAAATCAAACAAGAAACATTATTTGTCGATACAACATAATTATCCGTACGGTTGTCAAGAGAATTCTGAATTTTCGGAACGGGAGACATAGTTTCTAACCAATCACTACAATATACATATATATGTATGTATACATATGTATGAAAACTCGAAGAAGAACGTACGACAGCCATGTGTATTCGTTTCCTGAGCCTCTATTCAGAAATCCAATTACAGTTACACGGAGAAGTTTTGACTTCAATCTAAATGGAACATATGCATCATCTTGTGCACAATATCAAGGATCGCGGATTCGATTCGAGCCGTATCGTAATCCATAAAAATGAAATTACAAAGATATACAGCAAGCGAGGGCCAGTTATGCCATGAGATTCGACTTCGCACTATACCACGTGATAAATCTTGCCTGAACTAGCAAAACGACTTGCCGTTAAAACCGTTGAATAAGACATGACGATTTAATTATGATTCACATATTATAATCCTCTTACAGGTGCAACATAAATTTTCCTTAAGTGCAGTACATAAATATTTTTCTCGGAACACGAGAACATGTTCATCCTTAACTACTATTACCGGTCTATGAAACCGTTACTAATTATTTATTCATTTATATTCAGAATTCTTATTCAGAATTGTAAGAAAAATTGTATAACAAAAAAAACGTTTTTAATATACTTGCTTCTACTGAATCGAACTTGGACCTCTTCATTATTAATGTGGAAAGTAAAAACTATCGATTTTTATTTTTTATTTAACACTTTTATGTCAATAATAACGAAATAAGTGTTAACGATCTATCAGACCACTAATTAAAAATACTGAACGAATGAAGATCAGTATTTAGTAAAATAAATCGTTCTAGCTAAGATATCACAATGTTAATTGCATTGGTAAAACGTATTAAGATTGTAGAAAAACAAAACAGTGCTTATTTATTTGAATTTTTGTTTTCAATTTCAATTACTGTAGTTTTGTTACTGTACACAGTATGTGAATCTTTTCATCGCTCAATACGTTAGTCCCTGTGCCTCTTACCACAGGATAAGCCTACATAATCTCAAATCTTGAATGATCTCCGATATATTTTTACAGAGAACAAATGTAAATATGAAATTTTATTAAAACAGTCATCTCTAATACGAACTTTTAAATGACTTATCATGATGTTACATTTTCTTATAGGAAATAAAAATTAAATTATGTTAAATATCAAATTTGTATTGTGCACAGTTATTCAAGGAGAGAGTACAGTAACTGGAGCACAGTATTCAGGGAGAGTATACAGTAATTGAAGCAAAGTAACTGATTTTTTTAGATTATGAGCACATGGTAACTGGCCCCAGAACCTTTTCTCTTTTCTTTCTCCTAATAATCAAAGAAGATTTGTTATCTGTTTCATGGGAAAATTTGCATCGATAAAAGAAACTTTGAAATTACCTTCAACTTCTTAAGAAACGTCGATTAAATGGCAAAAGTTGTTTTTAACAGCGAAAACTCCTGAATTCCGCAAACACTGACACCCTGTATAATGGCGCATCGCGAAAGCCAGAGAAGTGGAAACGCAGGTTCCACTGGAGTGCGTTTTCCAGTGAAAATTGTCTCTGTTTGTTATTTTAAAAAAGTTTAGTTATTTTTGCGGCAGGCCATGTGCACGGAAGAATACGTAAGTCCGAAAGAGGAAGTTGCGACCGCGCGAGCAAATGAAGTTGCGCTATCAAACTGTGCCCAAAGTGAAATAAAATTATCTGCGAATATACAGTGTACAAGGTGTCCGCGTAACAGGAAACAGTACCGAAACAGCAGTTTCAGAAGCAACTTGAACAGGAATAAATTGAAAGAGGTGCATCGCGCAAAAGATAAGGACTTCGACTGTGGCGCTTTTAAACTTTCGCCACCTAACCGCACGGGAACTCCTAAATGATCGTTTACATCACGATGTTTGCTGGAACGTTTATGCGAATGAAATGGAACACGTCCTTCTGGGTGTTTCAAACATCGTTCTATGAAACGCTCAGTTGTTTCGCAGTAGAAACGCTTGTTTCTGTATTCCATCGATGGAACTTCAGAATGTTTTACACATTAATTCGGTAATATATTATAATAGTTCGGAAAAAATAATTTTCTTTCATTTAATAATTTAATTATTAAGTAATTTCTACTTTCTAGGTGTAACGGGAAATATGATTTGTGTCTGACAGAGTTGCACGATGAATAAATAATTCATACTTAATTAAATACAATTAAACGATGCGTAATAGCGGAACCTTAATAATATAGAAATAACTTTAACTTTACTGAAAGTATAATAATGTTATCCTTAAACCATGAATACGTACATGCATTTCTTTAAAACTGTCTATCTAACAGGGTAAGTGTAAGTATTATTGCGTTTTCTCAATAAAGGCGAACTTTGACAGAGAAAATAAAACCTTTTACACCAATAAATTGACAACTTGAGCCACACCTATTATTCTTTAACTTGAATATTTATTTTTCTCAAAACATTGGATCTCTAAAAGCACAAATTTAATTAAAAAGCGTAATGTAAAGAAACCATACGTGTGCATATATTACTGCGGTTATGTATCTATTACTGCGAGTCAAATACTGTGGACGTTCCGATTACTGCGTGTCAAGGTTGACATAACCTATTTTCTTTTAAATATACACACAGCTACAATTTCTAGAAACAAGATATTCTCGCTGTAGCATTTTACAAATTAGATTTAGGTACTCTATAACCAAGCTTAATCGCATCGGCTCATCGAGAACTGCACTGTATAGGTTAAGAAACGCAGTTCAGTAAAGCACCGCAGTGTGACACCAAATACTGTGTTACAAAATAATATTTAAGGATAGATGATAGTGATAGTGTATGTCGATTTTTTTATCAAAGTAATGATTACTTTATATAAAAATAACGCTAAAATGAATAGTTTACTATTAATTACCAAATATAAATGCATTTCGAATTAGCGTTCACAGCTGCTATCATGAATCTTAACGTTTTCATAAACTTCCGAATATTAGAAGACAATAAATGAATTAAAACTGCAATTGCTGTCACTTATATGTCGTAAATTATCAATATTAAACATAAAAAATAATGAGATTCATTTTCAGAAGATTACACACTATAAAATGTTAGATTTTGTTACTTTTATAAAATATTGCAGTATTTGGGGCGTCCGCAGTAATACCCACACTTACCCTAGTCCATTAAAATTAATTTACATCAAACTGCATAGCTACATAACGAGTGCAATATAAATCGTTTTATTTCAAGCAACATTTTTATTTTAATGTTTCCGGTGTTTTCATACATACTTTATTAACAATAACTGTTTCAAAAAGAAAATAACAAAACAAAATCTACATTAAAAAAAAAAATTTATATTATTATTTTATTTCTTTATATTATCTCAACAAATATTGTAATCAATTAAAACTTTACTTACATAATACAAAGAATATTAACTTAACTCAATCAAGACGATGCAAACATATAACAAGTAGTGTCTACAATTAAATATTTTTCCCATTTGTAACTAATTTTGTAAAATTAGAAAACAGCATGTTTGTATTACCGATATGCATTTAAAAATTTCAAAAGGAGATATTAAGAAGAAAATACTGCTTATGACACGTTCATTCTGCAATTTTTATATTTAACGTT